CAGAGCCCTCCTTAAAATAATGCTTTTAAAATTTGACCATGATTAGCCCTAGCCGGTTGTCCAGTGGTTAGAGCATCGGCCTGCAGACTGAACAGTGTGGGGTTTGATTTCCCAAGCCCCAGTTGGGGTGCGTGCAGGAGACAACCAGTTGATGTTTCTCACATTAATGTGTCTCTCTCTCCCTCTCTCTCTCTGTCTCTCCCTTCCACTCTCTCTGAAAAACAATGGAAAAAATATCCTTGGGTGAGGAATAAAAAATAAATAAATAAAATAAAATTTGACCATGATTAAATCTTCTCATATTCAAATAACCATTTATTGATCTGATTATTTATATTTGAGAGACTTTTGGACTGAAGTATGACACTAGTTATGTTTCTTGGTAGATATGAGGGTATTCTCTCCTGATGTTAACCTTTTAAATAATCCCTACTTACAAGTATTTCCACTTGTGCTTGTCAGCCTATAAATGTTTGTGGAAAGGCACTGAATTCCTGTTTCCTTGTAAGGGGTGGGCTGTGACCCAGAATGAGCTATCTGCCAGTATGCTATCATTTCTTCTCAGGATGTGAACATAAGTGTTTACCAAAATGCCAACTGAGCTTTTAAATTTGATGTTTGGTTTTTGAAACCTCTGCATACTAGTCTGATATTATTTTATTTTAATCCTCACTGGAGGATAGTTTTTCCATTGCTTTTTAGAGAGAGTGAAAGGGAAAGAGAGAGAAACATCGATGCAAGAGAGACACATCGATTGGTTGCCTCCCTCTCACGCCAACCAGGGCGGGCACTGAGCCTGCAACTGAGGTACGTGTCCTTGGCTGTAATTGAATCCAGGACCTTTCATTCTCAGGCCGATGCTCTAACCGCTGAGCTAAACCGGCTAGGGCTAGTCTTAATATTATTTTAAAATTCCAGTTTCCATTTTACCATTTATCTACATTACAGTAGTTTTTTGCTTGTCTGCTTTTTCCTTCTAATATTTCCAAGCTACACACCAATCTTAGCTAAAGCCCATTGCCTTTGCCTTAGTATAGGTACTATGTCTTTCATCTCAGTACTGCCCCATGTCTAGCACAGTGCTTGATACTTGGTAAATTCTTAGTTAATGTATTTTATTTGTTGTTTTTTAAAAATCTTAGTGGTTTCTCTTTTTTTTTCTTAATATGTCTTTATTGATTTCAGAGAGAGGAAGGGAGAGGGAGAGAGAGATAGAAACATCAATGATGAGAGAGTCATTGATTGGCTGTGTCCTGCACACCCTCTACTGGGGATCAAGCCCGCAACCCAGGCATGTGCCCTGACCAGGAATCAAGCCACAATCTCCTGATTCATAGGTCGATGTTCAGCCACTGAGCCACACCAGCTGGGCTTAGGTAATGTTTTAGGAAAATTAATGAATGAGTAGTGACAATGTAGTTAGCTCTTTTGGTGGATTCTCATAGTGGTCATTACTCTAGGAAATTACATACCATAGTAGTTAAGAGTATGCATACAATTCTGAGTTTGAGTCCCTGCTCCAGCTCCAGTTTATTAGCTGTGTAGTATTGTGAAAATTATGTCATGTCCATTACCCTGTTACATCATCTGTAAAATGATAGTAATAGCATCTACAATACAAGCTTTTTGAACCAGTCTTCATCTGTGGCCGTAGCACTAGTTCTCTCTCCTAGGAAGTGTCCTCCCCTAGTTGTTTGCGACTTCTTGTCATTCATGTTTCAGCTTAAATGTTATCTTCTCAGAGACCCTCTCTGTACTAGGTAGGATTTGTAGTTGTAAGCAACAGAAACCAACTCTGGCTGATTAATGAAAGGATATTAGGGAAACTTTACAAAATATCATGGAAGGCCACAAAGCCAGGCTTGAAGAATGGGCTAGAACAAGGGAAACTGGGTAGCAGCCAGGACCCACAGCCAGAATCATTCACAGAACCAGTTCATGAGATCACTGCTGCCACTTATATAGCTTACACCACTACCACCAGATGACTGGACCTTCATGGCCATTATAGCTGTCCCTTGCTGCCAGCATGGACTCTCTGTGTCCTCTGACTCTTTGACACCAGATCCCAATTAAGGTCTGGGGCTAATGTGCCAGGTTGGGAAAACCAGGGCAGTGTTCACACACTCTAGTTTCAAGGGAGCCTCAGAAAGAGAATTTCCGCCATTTTCACTTGATAGTAAGAGGGTGCTCTGCCTCCCACCAGACTCATTAAATGGGGAATTACCAAAATATAGGAAGGGGTTCAAATGCTAGCAGCCAGAAACCTCGACAAATGTGTACTGCATCTTCTTTGACCTCAAGTGTAAAAGTAGCTAATCAGTCTCTCATATCAACTTGTTTTGTTTTCATCATAGCACTTATCACTACTGGATATATTCTTATTTTATTTGTATTATTGTTTATTATATATCCCCTCCTGCTAGAATGCAAGTACCATGAGAGTAAGGAACTTGCCTGTTTTAGTCACTGCTGTATTCCCTGGGCCTGGAATAGTAGCTGGCATATAACAAGCTTCTTGTGCTCATTTCTTGAGTGAATGAATAAATATAAAGCACTTAGCACAATTCCTGGTATATAATAAGGGCATAATATTAATTATTGTATTATTTTCCATATGAACAACTGTAAACCTACATTTGCCCCACCCTGTATTTCCTTTTTCCCCCCATTGCTTTTTCAGAGAGAGTGGAAGAGAGAGAGAGAGAGAAACATCAGTGTGAGAGACACATCAATTGTTTGCCTCCTCCACATACCCCAACCAGAGCCAGGATCAAGCCTGCAACCAAGGCACATGCCCCTGGCTGGAATTAAACCAAGGACCCTTCAGTCCATGGGCTGGTGCTCTAACCACTGAGCCAAACCGGCTAGGGCTGTATTTCCTTTTTAAAAATTAACTGTCATCACAAAAAGAGAGGCAAAGGATGGTATATGACTACTGATAAGATGTAATAAGTACACAGCATCCACTATGAGTAGTCTTGCCAAAAAACTGAACCTGCATCCTACCATCCCAGTTTACAGGAAATATAATATAGGGGATAGAGAGACATGTTAAAGGACTTCATAGAGGCGCAGTCAGTGGATCCAGAATGTGGGAAATTCTTCAGACCAAGTGACATGATTTCTCCAGCAAGTAAGTGACAGAAAAAATGAAGAAGAAGGAAGAATTGTCATGGACTAAAAGAGATTTAAGAGATAAATCAACACAATGAATGGACATTATTTGGATCCTAATTCAAACACAACCACTATAAAAATCATTTTTAAGCAAGTGGGGAAATTTGAACATTGACTGAATATTTATTTAATGCTACCAAGGAATAATTGTTAATTTTTTAGGTGTGATAATGGCATTATGGTTACTTTTATAAAACTGTCCTTGCCCTGGCAGGTTTGGCTCAGTGGTCCGAGTGTCAGCCCATGGACTGAAGGGTCCCAGGTTTGATTCCCGATCAAGGGCATGTATCTTGGTTGCAGGCTCGATCCCCAGCCCCAGTCGGGGCATGTGCAGGAAGCAACCACTCGATGCGGCTCTTTCTTTCTCTCATTCCCCTCCTCCCTCCCCTTCACTCTCTCTAAAAAAATTAATGGAAAAAAGTATCCTTGAATGAGGATTAAAAAAAACCTCCTTATTTCTCAGAGATATACACTGAACTGTCTATGGATGAAATACTATGTTTGAGAATTGCTTTGAAATAATACTTCAGGGGGAAACTTGGATGGAGTATAGGTAAAACCTGATCAGCTAGATGTTTATAATTACCAAAACTGGTGATGGGAATTTGGCAAGTCATTATACTTGTTATTCTAGTTTGTTTATGCTTGAAATTTTCCATAAGAAAAAGTTTACAAGAGAGAGAGATGACAATGAACAAAAAGATAACTGATAATATTATTTATTGAAAGAGCATGTTATTACGTAAACATTTGATGTGATTGATATAAGCATTTTTCTTTCATAGGTAGCATTTCTAATGCTGTATACTATAACATGGCTGCACATTATTTAACCCTCTATCGATGGAAACTTGTAAAAGCAAAATTATTTTGCTTTTATAAAATATGATGAATATGCTTGGATATGGAACTTTTTTATTACATTTTGTGTTTTCTTATAGTAAATTATCACAAATGAGATTACTAGGTCTTTCTAGCCATCAGAATTGTAGAACAGGAACAAGTTGCTTCAAGAAGTTGTAAGATCGAAAGCATACCTATTGGGATATTGAAGAGGGATTTCTTTTTTTTTCATTTTAAAAAATATATCTTTATTGATTTCAGGGAGGGGGGGGAGAGAGAAACATTAATGATGAGAGAGAGTCACTGATCGGCTGCCTCCTGCACACCCCCACCTGGGAATTGAGCCCGCAACCCTGGCATGTACCCTGACCAGGAATCAAACCTCGATCCCCTAGATCCCAGGCTGATGCTCAACTGCTGAGCCACGCATGGCCAGGTTGAAGAGGGATTTCTTTATCAGATTGGATCTTGGACATGGTGCCATTACAACTCCTGTCCTCTCTTTGATTCTGTGAATCTGTTAGAGGGTTCTGTGTTCTGTCTATGATACTAATTTGGTTTTGGTGAGAGCCAAGCTGAGGGTCAGAGATTTGAAGCATAATTAAAAGTTTCAGACTGGTTGCCACAGATGCATACTGAGCATGTGAAACTTGACATCATCTTTCTTGCTGTGTACCTTGTTCTTATTTTCAGGATATGCTTCCATCTTCCTTCATACTCATATCCAAACCCTCCTTTTCTGGTGAAGCATACATGACTTATTCAGTGTTTGTTCCAATACTTTCTGTGGCTGTGAGTCATTGTCTCCCCTCTCCCCTATGCCCTTTGCCCTCCAGAGGTTCTTCAATACTGTGTCATAAATCACAGGCAATAGCCAGTTCACCAAGTAGGCTGAGGGGCTGTTTTAGAGGTGAAATTGGGACTCTGAAGCCACCTTATTCCATCCTCCAAGGTTTGATGATTTTTTTTCTCCCCAGGTAATTAAATGTGTGTCGTGTGGACCTGGGCTTTGCTGGAATGCGCAAGGGTTCTGAAGATCTTTATATAGCTTCCTTCTGTTGAATCCATTAAGAGAAGATGGCAAAAGTCAACATAACTAGAGACCTCATTCATAGGCAGATCAAGGTAAGCAACCCAGACCTCTGAACCAGAGCATGAGATCCTTTCTTCCTCACAGGTTCAGTTTACAGACAAGGAAATTGAGGTTTAGAGTTGGTGACTTGCCTAAAGTCACATAGCTAATTAGTGACAGACTGGACTCGAACTAATGTCCCTTGGCTCCCACATTTTTACTCAAGAACATAGAATTCATGGAGACTCCTCTGTTCAAGTGTTTGTGCCCAGGCCACTGAGATTAATAGAGGCTGATGAGAGAGGGGAGCCATTAGTATGTTGTGCATGTGTGTGTACATTTGTGTATGTGTGTTTGTGTTTGCAGGTGCTTGGGCACATGCGTATGTGTGTGTGAGGGGTTGTGCAGGAGTAAATGTAGCTTCGTGTTGCTCCAGCTGCTAAATTGAACATATAACAGAACCTGGGAGAGTCTTAGTCCCAGTTCAGCTTAGACTCCTTTTCTTCGTGGGTCTCCTGTACCAAACAAAGCCCGTACCCATCCTCTGCAGGATGTACATAGAAGACACTCCAGTACTGTGAGATGAGTGGATGACTGGGTAGTCAAGTTCATTTAGCGAGGTAGCCCAGACTTTGTCAGGGAAGCCCTCAGTAAAGGAGCACAGGAATTTAATGGAAGAGATTCAACCAAGACATGATGTGCTTCTCTATTAAGAACCCTAAGCTGGCGTCAGGAGCTTAACCTCACCACTGCCCTAATTAACTAACTGGAAGACTTTAGTCATTTACCTCCTTGGGCCTCAGTTTTCTGTTGTTAAGTGATAATAATGTCTGTCACCTGCAGGCTGATCTTGAGAATGAAATCCAAAAGAACATGAGAAAGTTCTTTGAAAAGATTAAGTGCTAAAATATTCTTTTAATTAAAAATCTTTTAAGAAATAAGTGGCATGGCCATAACCAGTTTGGTTCAGTGGTTAGAGCATTAGCCCACAGACTGAAGGGTCCTGGGTTCGATTCTGGCCAGGGGCACATACCTCGGTTGCAGGCTCAACCCCCAGCCCAGGTCAGTGGAGGGGGGACAGCACCAATCAATGTGTCTCACATCAATGTTTCTATCTCTCTCTTTCTTCCCCTTCTTCTCTTTGAAAAGCGATGGAAAAAATATCCTGGGGTGAGGATTAAAAAATAATAATATTGATAAGGAAAAAAAAGTGGCATGTAACATAAGCTGTGGTCACCATCCAGAAAGATTGAGTGTATGCCTCTGTGTGAGCCATGTACTTTGTGCATGTTAGTCTGTGTTTTATATAGTATTTTTCTTTGCATCCCTGAATCTTTTTGGAACTTTGTTCATTTGTGGGGGTGGTTTGTGATTTCATTAAACTGATAGCCCTCAAGGGCAAGGACCATTACCTAGAGACACAGAATCATAGAATTGGAGGGACCATGAGAGTTATTTTTTCCTTCACATATCTCACACAGTATGTGTCCTAAAGATGATGTTCATCCTCTCCAGCCTAATATGGAAACATTCCCTATTTTTTGTTTCCAATGTTTTTCTTTCCTTTTTTTTTAATCCAGCAAGCACAATTTACTACTACTTACATACTCTCTTCTATTATTCTCTAATCCCTGCCTAAGTGTAGTGCAGGTCTCCACAAGCTGATTTCTTGTTATCTTTTTTAACTCCTGTGGTGCCAAGCACAAGTGTTGGATATATAATAGGCACATAATAAATCATGTTGAATTAAATCAGTGAAACTATGTGTTCATTTCTGCCCCCAGGAGCGGGGTGCCCTGAGTTTTGAGAGGCACTACCATGTCACTGACCCCTTTATCAGACGGCTGGGCCTGGAAGCAGAGCTGCAGGTAAGAGATCCAGTTTGCTTCCCTAAATGCAGATGGCTGGCTCTCCTTTCTTTGCCTGCAGAGAATCCTCTTGGCATTATTCAAGTCATAAACAAGTCATAAACAAGTTTTTCTCTGCAGGTCATACCTAAAGGTTACCTCTCCTTTCCAGCAGTTTTATTAGGTAGGTAAATCTGAATCAAGATTAGTTATTTACATGGTCATGCAGAAATTATTTTTGGGTCATATTATTTGCTTTGTGCTTGGAAATATTTTTTAATTGCATACCACTGTTTTTACTGTTGGCTTAAGACAATAATGATTCTTACCTTTATACAGGAATTTAGAGTTTACAGAGTGTTTTCATACACACACACATGCACACACTTTCTCATTTTAGCTTCAAAGAAACTCTGTGGGAAGGTAGATAGGGACTAGGTATTACAAAAAAAATTAAAATAAAATAAAATAAAATAAAAATAAAAACAAGTTTAGAAAGGCCAAGCACCTTGTCTACTGTTGTCCTGTCCAGTCCATGGAGATCTAGGCTTTTTCAGTCAAGAATTTCTTCTTTTGCCCGGCCGGGCGTGGCTCAGCGGTTGAGCGTTGACCTAGGATCCAGGCGATCAGGGTTCGATTCCCAGTCAGGGCACATGCCCAGGTTGTGGGCTCAATCAATGACTCTCTCATCATTGATGTTTCTCTCTCTCTCTCTCTCTCCCTCTCCTTTCCTCTCTCTGACATCAATAAAGATATATTTAAAAAAAAAAAAAAGAATTTCTTCTTTTCCACTGTGTCTGACAGAGACACTCCATAATGTTAGTTTCATTCCCTTTCTTGCTCAAGATCATGTTTTGAATCCAACTTTTAACTGTCCTATCCAACTTAGTGTTATCTGCAGGTTGAGTAAGAATTCTCTTTAGTTTCTTCAGATTAGTGTTTGTAAGTGATCATGTTGGTCTTAGAAAAAGACTAGAAAGAAATTTATTGAATGTTAACATTGTGTTATCTTAAGGTAGTGAGATTATAGATGATTGTGATTGCTTTCTTTTAATTATAAACTTTTATCCATTATAAAATATAACTACATTAATAGTAATATGGAAAAGATAAGTAAAAATTACTTCTTAGTCCTCCCTCCATAATACAGTTACTATTAGCATTTCACGTACTTTGTTTTATCTCCTGTATATTTTTACATAATTGTAATCATACTTTACATTGAATTTAAAAAAAAATAGTTTTATTGATTTTTAAAGAGAGAGGAAGCAAGAGGGAGAGAGAAAGAGAAACATCGATGTGAGAGCACAACATTGATTAGCTGCCTCCTGCACACCCCCCACCAGGGATCGAGCCCACAACCCAGGCATGTGCCCTGACCGGAAATCGAACCAGCAACCTTTTGGTGCTTGGGACAACGCTCAGCCGACTATGCCACACCAGCCAGGGCTGCATTGAATTTTTTTTAAGTTAACATATAATAATTCTTTTCTTCATGTTACCAAGTAGGCTTCACAACTTTTACTTAATTTTTTTTTCTGATTATAGAAGAAATATAGTAGCAAATATGGAATAGACAGGAAAATGTAGAGAAGAAAACAAAATCACGTTTAATTCTGTCATCTAGAGATAAACATTGTTAACATTTGGTGTACTGTCTTTGTGTATTATGAAACAGAATACTCATTAAGAGATGGGCATTGGATGCCCGGCCAGGCGTGGCTCAGCGGTTGAGCATCGACCTAGGATCCAGGCGATTGGGGTTTGATTCCCGGTCAGGGCACATGGCTGGGTTGCAGGCTTGATCCCCAGTTGGGGGTGTGCAGGAGGCAGCCAATCAATGACTCTCATCATTGATGTTTCTATCTCTCTCTCCCTCTCCCTTCCTCTCTATGAAATCAATAAAAATATATTAAAAAAAAAAAAAGAGAGATGGGCATTGGAGCCTCATAAATTTATTTTCAAGACCTATCTTCTCCACAGCTATATAGCCTTGTGCAAGTTACCCCTAGTTTCCTGATCAGTAAAATAGAGCAATAACTGAGAATTGTTTTGATGATTAAATTAGAAGGTTTGTGTGAAGCACTTGACAGTGTCTGGATCATAGCAAGCTAATTCAATAAAATAGCAGTTATGATTCTTAAATCTTCTAGTTTTTTTCCATGCTTATGTAATTTTTTTTCCTACAAACAGGGCTTGTACCGTTTACACAGTTTGAGAAAACCTTTTATACTTTTATATTATGATTGTTTTCCCATATCTCTAAAAATTATTTGAAAACATAATTTTTTATGTATTTTATTATTTATCCTTTTTTTTTTTAAGTTTCTCTCCATGTTTCCTTTAGAACAAAGCTCAGTGCAGTTGGTGATGGGGCATGGGAGATTTTACCTCCAAGGGAACATTTGGCAATGTCCAGAAACAATTATGATGGTCAAAACTAGAAGGGTACTGCAGACAGATAGTGGGTAGAGGCTCAGGATGCTGCTAAACATCCTACAATATATAGGACAGCAAAGAAAGTGCCACAAAGAATTATGCAGCCCCAAATGCCAATAATGCTGAGGCTGAGATACCCTGCTCTGGTGGATGCTGAATAGACAGTGACCCCTCGCTGGCTGGGCTTCTCCTTTTAGCTGTGCCTCCACCCATCCCATATTATCTTTACCATCTCTTCCTGGTTTAATAACTTTGTCCAGAATAGATTGGAAACTTCTATGACTACAAAACAGGATCCCATCTATTGTTTTCCAAGGTCTGGAACTCAAAAACAATTATGTTAAGGTGAACTGTTCCAATTTGCACTTGCTTAAAGGCCACCTTGCCCAGGACCTGTAAGTAACAGTGCATAGTATGAAGGAATGTACAGCTTTGCCTCTTATGAGACTTAGAGAAGTGAGAGCAGGTGGAAAGAATTGCAGGTTTGATACCCAGTCAGGACACATACCTAGGTTGTGGGTTCAATCCCCAGTCAGGGCATGTATGGGAGGCAACTGATGAATGTTTCTCTTGCACATCAATCTCTCTCTCTCTCTCACTCTAAAAATCAATAAAGATAAAAAACTAAAAAATAAAAATTTAAAAGTATTATATTTATTATATATTAGCATTGAGATATTTATCTCAACAGCACTGATATAGTTACTCATTTACTCAATTTTACAGTATACACAAAATAGTTACAGAATTGCTACAGCAATATCACTACAAATGACAAATCTACTAATTAGGGTTCAATCAAGATTTCCTTAAAGTTTATTTTGTCTTTAAAATATACACGGTTGAAGAATATATAGTCAAAGTACTGTGTAAAAAAATTACTTGGGTTAGTTAGCATCCCATCCTCAGCTTTGTTAGGTATGTTAGTTTTACTTTTTTTTTTTTACTTTTACTTTTTGCATGTGCAAAACCTCAACTTTTTTCTAAAAGTAAAAAATCTACAAAAAGGTCCAGAGCAGGATTACTCATATCCTTTCTCTACTCTTCACCCTATATCTTCCACCCCCTAGAGGGGACCAACTTCATTAGTTTCTGCTTATCCATTCTGTACTTGTGTTTGCAAAAATATGCAGGTACATATGTAAATTCTTATTTTTCCCTCCTTTGTTATACCAAAATGACAAAAATTATATTAAAATAGCCTTTAAACATATGGAAAAGATATTCAATTTCACTCATAAGAGAAATGTAACTTAAAACTATGTTGAGATGCCATTTTTCATCTGTCAGAATGGTAAAAAATTCAAAAGCTTAACCACACTGTCTGTTGGTGAGTTGTGGAGAAACAGGTACTCTCATGCATTGCTACTGGGAAAGCAAAATGGTGTAACTCCCAGTGACGGAAATTTGGCAATATCTAACAAAAACCACATATACATTTACTCTTTGGCCAGCACTCCCACTTCTGGGTTTTTAACCTGAAGATACATCTCCAGCAATAATAAAACAAATGTGCACAAGATTATTTATTATGGTATTGCTATAATTGCAAACTATCAGAAACAACTCTTAAGAATCCATACATGAGAAATTCATTGAATAAATATTGGTTCATCTACACAATAAAGTGCTATGCAGCTATGAAAAAGAACTCTATGAACTGATATGAGAGATTTCCAAGATATATTGGTAAGTGAAAAAAAGGTATATAAGTCTATCATGCCTCAATGATTCTACATCCTCAACAAGTCCTCTTACATGCCACCTTATGTCTTTACTCCCTTCCCTATCCCCTTAAGAATCCATGACTCATTACTACAGCCATTCTCTTGCAACATTCATCTGATAAAACCCCAACCCCAGATGATCCTTTAGCTTTCCTGTATCTTTAACTTTCCCTTTCTCTATTGATTCTTTCCCCTTGCAATTAAATATGTTCAAGCTTTTCCAATCTAAGAAAGTCTTCCTTGATGCCAAAGCCATATCTAGCTATAGCCTTCCATTTCTCTTTCCCCTGAAAGACTGGAAGAGTAGTCTATATTCAGTATTTTCACTTCCTCACTTCCTAATACAGTCATGGGCTGCTTAATTACAGGGATACATTCTGAAAAATTCATCATTAGGTGATTTTGTCATTGTGCAACATCTTACAGTGTGCATACACAAAAGTAAATGGTACAGCCTATTACACACCTAGGCTACCTGGTATATCATAGTGTAGCGCGTGACTGTAAATCCTCAACCCCCTTCTATTTATCTGCACTACATACCACAAAAATGGCTCTTGCCAAGGTTACCATTGTAGCTTCCTTGCCCTAAGTCAATGGACACTTCTTAATCCTTACCTTGCTTGATCCAGCAGTATTTGGTAGTACGGGACACTTCCTCAGTGAAACTTTCTCCATCTGGGTTCTGAGGCATCACCCTCTCTGTTTTCCTTCCTACTCCTCTAGTGTCTTTCTTGATACCCTTTGCATGCTCTTTGTCCACCTGTCCCTTATGTTGGTCTTCCTTATGGCTCTATCCTAGGCTTTGTTCTCACTCTTCTGTAGGAAAGGAACCTCACTTTACAAATGAGAATA